ATGCACGAAGTTGTATTCACGATTTTTTTTTCAATTCCATTTTGAATTCTATCTGGATCGTGCGGAAAGATCGTGTGAATGTATAGTCCAGAGACTAAAATTTCAAATTTTAAGAAGATCCCGATTTGAAGAAAAATTGATTATACAGGCAAACGCACACCTTGCTTATTTCATGTTATTGAGTCATGTGTTGTTACACTAACAGTCGAGCTAAATAGATTTATTTAGCTGAATCTACAATTTCGTAAAAATAACAGTAATCGCATCATCGATGGTCGCTTATGAGTCATAACAAAAGAACTAATAAATTAAAATCGGCGGTGTTCCGAAGAACACCAACGAATTTCATGGAAACATAAATTGGAATTTGCCACATTAATGATTTACATTGAATTTAATTTACACAAATAGTGCAACCCGCCCTAGCTCATTTATTTTACTTATTTTTCCATTTTTACTTTTTTAAATTTTTATCCAATTGATTCAAACATAAAAATCAAAACCAAAAATCAACATAAAACAGAAAAACCCGTCATTGTGGTTTTTATTTAGAATTTTCCACAAAATAATTAAATTCGAACAACTAAAATTATCATACATATATGCTGAAAAGTCACAAGACCAACGTGTGCTTCTCTACTATAAGAACCAATGTATTTGACGTGACAGTGAATAGCGGTGGCGCCTAAATAGAATCAGCGGCAACTTAAGGAACTATCAATACTTCTTGTTGTTGCGAAATTCGTGACAACAACAAAAAGTATTGATAGTTCTTATAAATGCCGCAAATTGCTAATACATCTTATTTGGGCGCCACCGCTATCTTGTGCCGGCCAAAAGCATAGGTTGCACAAGACTGAAACTCATAAAATGAAAACTTTGTAAATATTGTAGGTATATAAACAAAAACTTTCACCTCTAATAAACACATTACATTACAAATCGACGGTCAGTTTTCTTGCAGCCGAATGATTACTTATTCGAAATATAAACAAAAACTGATACTGTTAAGGCGAATTGAGTTTTTGTTGCTTGTGTATACTGCGAAATATCGAGAAAATAAAGTTGAGAACTGTGAAAATAAAGAAATAGAATGACTCAACTTCAAAATTTTATTTCCACATATAGAAAAGTAACATCTCGATTTTGAAATTAGAGCAGCACTTTTCAATTTAGAGGATCCCGAATCTGGTAGAAGATCCCGAAATTCTAGTCTCTGGTATAGTCATTTCCATTAATATCTGTTACAAAGAAATGTCAAAGCAAACAAGACGAAACATACCCTTGGTTGTTATGCATCAATGGAGACGAACAAATGAATTTACACTACAGATGTCGCTACATCAAGTGAAAAAGTCATTGACTTTGGAAGGAGAAGTGGAGCGTTTTGGCCCAAAAACTTAAACCCTACTTTTTATTGCAAAATGTTCATTTCAAAAATGCACTATGTCGGAAGATATGCGATAGTTGACGTCGAACTATTCAAAGAACGATTCCCAGGTGGTCACGACCACGTAAGACGGGAAAAAAATTGAATGTAGCAAAAGATCGTCTTAACGTTATTAGATCGCTATGAGACGTTTCCCCAAACTATTATCACATAAACTCAAGATTATCTGAGAATTTCATTGAATTTTGCTTATTTTTTCTTATCAAAATTGCCAAATTATTAGTTATTTCGTCATATTTTGTAATTTTTACTTTTTTTGGACTCTATTTCGGATGCGTCACCCTGTATAAATCACTATACTATTCAAAACAAAGCATGCGCCTAATTATTTATTGATACCTCAATCACAAAAGTACAAATGAAATCGATACGAGACGCGCGTTCAACAGTCTAAACGAAATGAAACAGATGTTTTTATTGTTCGTTTGAATGCAATATGAAAAATCAATAGTTCTCATCCCAGTTTCATTTCTTTGGCTTATTTTGAATGCATATGAATATTTCAAATACGTGAACATTTATTCAACCTAAAGCAATAAAAGCCAAGTACCATACGTCAATAGTACAAGTTAGCAATTAGAACACAGATAAAATTACATGACTACTTCGGGTCTAAAATTCAAATGTACGTAAATCGGAATGTATTCGCGTGTAACGCTCATTGATTTTTCTCCCATATGCATATTTCAGGTTTTTTAAAATGAAACAAACAAACGAGCGTCCCTTCATCGTTTGAAAGCAGGCCAACAACTCCACAAAAAGCTAGACAAAAAGACACAAGCAAAAACAGCATATCTTCTGATACCAAAACCTTACATATAAATGATTTGAAAACATCCAAATGGAATTGATAGTAACCGAAATGAATACAATAAATGAAAATGAAATCCGTTTTAGAATTCGGGCGAAAGAATACTTCTGCCGCCACAAATAGGGAGCGTTACACCCGTCACAAAACTTGAACTATCTTTCGCCAAAAACGAAATGGCATTAACGCAATCGTGTGTGGAGCCAATTCGTCCGATCGGATGTGTTTTGGTCATGTTCTCGACCACTTCCGCGTATGCATCGTCATCTTTTTCAATGCCAATGGCCACAGTTAGAAAATTCGTATCAATGAACGCTGGATTCAGGGCATTAACTCTCACACCTAGACAATTTAATTGGAATTTTCTGTTAATTCGCATTGAATGTTTCGATTTTAATTCAAGTTGCGCCCGAAGCATAAGTAGTGTGACTTTCAGTTGATGTTACATTTGTGCATAATGAAAGATCATATACCTTTGTCAGCCAAATCAATAGCACAACAGCGTGTAAAATGATCTAATGCAGCTTTTGTTACGGAATAAGCTACACAATTTTTAAATGCTCGCAAGCTCACAACACTTGAAATGTTCACCACCTGGTTTGACATATATAGAAATAAAGTATCTCTTGTTACTAGGAATAAAACAAAGGAAAAAGTAATAAATCATACATTCCCACGACTTTCAATCAAATACGGTATGGCTAATTGGGTTAGCTCAAACACAGCTCGGACGTTTGTTTGCCACATACCATCGAATTGTTCCATCGTTGCGGTTTCAATTGTACCCACACCACCGTAGCTGGTAGTATAAAAGATTAGTAATTACGGTTGATACGCAAAATTATGTTTGTCCACATGGTGCCCATACATACCCAGCATTATTAATTAAAACATCCAATCGACCATACTTTTCGATCGTTTCGCTGATGATTCGTTCAGCATCCACGCAAACATCTGCCAAAATCATTAATGGTTCCATTTCCACGCCGCAATCTTGGATTTTTTCCATGACACTCGCAAATTTTTCCTCATTTCGGCCCACCAATGCAAGCAGAGCTCCTTTTTTGGCAAAAAACAACGCGCAAGCCTCTCCTATTCCACTACTAGCACCTGTAGTGTTTTTCAGGTAATGAAAACCTATCCAGATTAGATACCAGATAAAATTGTGATTTGAAAATGATCTCGTACCCGTGATTAATATAACTTTTCCAATAAATGGCATGGTATCAATGATTGTATTTTATTTGTATTTTCTTTTCTATCGGTTCTTTGAAACCTTCCTTGATTGAAGCTAAAATTCGGAATTGAACCAAAAGCAAAAGAACGCAAATGTTGAACTGTAAAATGTGTGTTGAACTCTTCAAAGCCGAATAAGATACTGAGCGTTATCAAACGAAAACCCATGGACTTTTATTGAGAATATTTTAGAGTTAATTTTAGAGGGATGATTTAAATCACGTGTGGCACTTCATTGATCGCTTTCGCATTAATCATTCAAAGGTTCAATTGAAATTGTGTTTGAAGTGAAACCATTTCATCCATAATCATTTCATAGTTATGCATAAGCGATAGACGAGAAATTGTTCATCTAACAAAATCAATAACAAATTGGAAAGGAGTTTATTTTTGGTTTAAAACTTTCATAATTATAGTGGATTGATGACAAATTTGTGGTTCGATATAACGCAATCAAAACTGTTTTTTTTTTGTTTTTTTCATGGTCAAGAACAACTACGTTTTGGGAAAATCGATCGAGGACTAAAAACATTTTCCATGGCAAGAAGTTCGATTTTCTCTTGTACCAAATATAAAATATCGTGTTTTCCATGCTGTCCATGTCAACCATATTTTATTGAATTTTCAATGAAATTTAACAGATTGGTATAATTCCGTTGAGAGCTCTTCAACCATTTGTTGTTTGTACGGATAATTTTATTGGGTAGGCTATTGTAAGCGTTGACACGTAGGTTGACATCCATTGTACTAAATTTCGGTTGAATGTAGAAAATTCATTGTATTCTTCTAAAATGCTCCCTTTGTAGAAATTCCCCCTTCAAATAAATAATTTAAAAGAAAAATCGACAATGAATTTTCGAGGAAAAAAATGAATCAACAGAATAATCAAAGAAAATACCATCGACACGCAAAAGAACTCCGGTAATGAATTTAGCACCTGTGTGTTCAAAGTGAAGAAACCAAAGCAATTAAAAGTTCAATAAAATAGAATGACCATTCAATAAACCAAGATTAGAATTTCATTTAAACACTATAATCCAAGAAGGTGAAAACCGAAAAAAATTTAAAAATAAAATTTAGAACCTTCTTCATTAGCCAAGAATGAGATAGCGCTCACACAATCGTCAGGATATCCGATTCGTTGTAGCGGATGTTTACGTTTGTTCTGCTCGACAATTTCATTGTATTCTTCGGTGTCTGTTCCAATGCCCCTTGCAATTGTATAAAAGTCGGTATCAACAAATCCCGGATTACAACTGTTCACACGGACACCTGGACAGAATCATTAGACATTTTTCAAACAAAATTAAAAAAATTTAAAATAACAAACAAAGTACACCAAACCTTTACTAGCTAATTCCATTGCGGCGCCTTTAACACATTTAAAGAAGTAATTATTTGAATTGAGTCAATTTGAAATTGAAAATTAAACAACAACAAACATTTAGTAAATTGATCCAGTGCGGCTTTTGACATAGAATATGCGAAAAACTCCGGAACTGGAATAATTCCTGCGATGCTCGAAACATTGATGATGTTGCCCTTTGTCTCAATCAAATATGGAACCGCCAATTGGGTTAATTCAACGACGCCCCGAACATTTGTGGCCATAATTCCATCATAGTCTTGAATTTGCAATGTTTCAAGTGAGGCCGGGATTCCAAAACCAGCATTGTTGATTAAAATGTCCAATCGACCGTACTTTTCGATTGTTTCGTTTATAATGCGTTCAGCATCTACCGAAACATCGGCGTAAATGGTCAGTGGTTCAGTTTCGATGCCATTCTCCCCGAGTTTTTCGAAAAGTTTTTCAAATTTGTCCGGATTTCGGCCAACCAACGAAAGTAGAGCTCCTTCCTTATGAAAATATTGGGAACATGCTGCTCCTATTCCACTGCTAGCACCTGTATATGTTTTTAGGTAATGAAAACTTATCCAGATTATATATCAGATAAAATTGTGATTTGAAAATGATCTCGTACCGGTGATTAAAATGATTTTGCCTTCAAATGACATTGTTCCACGTTATAACTGAGTCTGCTTCCACAAATAAAATGCACGTCTCGCGCTATGAAATGACAAATGAAAACTGATGATTCTATGAATTTCTTTCTATCGTAACGTTTTGCGGTTTTCCTTTGCATATGTTATTCCAAAGTTATCAATATTGAATGGTTGAGCCATTGGAACTAGAGCAAAGGAACGAATAAATGAACGTCGCTTTGGCAGCGAGCTGCTCTGATTTATTTATTAACGAGGTGTTTTATTGCAATTAGGTTCGAAAAGAAAAATCATTATCCTCATTCCATTTTATTGAAAATACTTGATTTCGTTTCAGATGTGCATTTCAAATGGTATTTAGGAAATACATTTGGTTAGAAAAAGAGACAATTTACAGTGTTTGTCGGTATTCAATTTACGTTATTTTATCTTTAGCCCTGAAATGACATTCAAAAACTACGAATACAAAATGCATTGCTGTCTTTTCACTGGAGTGCCGACTTGAATTTAAAATGATTTTAATAAAATCAATACTTGATACGCTTTCTAAACTAACGTATGCTACAGTAAGTGTGTGAGTCATATCACCTGTTTAGTAGAGCATTGTCAGGGGCAGTTTTGATTGCAATCGCATTTCAAAAAAAAATGTTATTGATTTTATTCGAATTGAAACACTTGGTGCTTCACAGTTTATTCAAAGAATTTCAGTCTAGGGCGAGGGGCAAATCACTCTAAAGTAATTTGTAACAGAGAAAGTAATCGAGAAAGTAATTTACGTATAAAAATCTCGATTACTTTTAAAAGTAATCGAGATTTTTACACGTAAATTACTTTCTCTATTACAATTTCTTTTTAGAGTGATTTGCCCCTCGGTCTAGGGGCATTTCTCACGAAAAGAATGAATGAATTCTTAAAAATTTTGAAAAATTTCTTCCGTTCGGTCCGATTCGATCAATTTTTATCAATTCGTGTAAATAAATGTTCATTTACACTGAACTTGTGTTCTGGAAGTGGGTTTTGGTGGATCTCAAGGATCGTTCAGAACTGCTCCTGGTTCTGGAAGTGGATCTTCAGGATGGACCAGGGCATTGTCAAACCGGATCTGGTCCATCCTGAGGATCCACCAAAACCCACTTCCAGAATCGGGAGCAGTTCTGAACGATCCTTGAGATCCACTAAAACCTACTTCCAGAACACTTTTATTCAAGCAATATCGTCATTTCAGTACATTTTCTTACAATTTCAATAAAAAAGACGAAATAATAGACATTTTTGCACATTTGCTCAAATTGTTTGCGTGATAAATGCCCCTAGATTTCAGTGCTGTTCGTGTTTTTTTTTTATTTTAAACAGAAAGTTTAAATTATTATTAAACACCAGTAACACAAGCTGTAATATACATGTTTTTATGTGGTTCTTCTTCTAAACTGTCACCACATTGACGACACCATCATAAATAACCGGTAAAATGGCACCAGAGACATATGAATGTGTGTGATCTGTTGCAAAGAAAGCGATCGTATTCAGACACTTTTCTATATGTTTGACTTCAGCGGTGACCGTTTCACTTTCGGGATCTGGAACAATATATTCATCTCCAAATCTGTAGCCTGAAGTGAGTTGCATAAAATCAGCCATGATAAATCCAGGGTTGATGGAATTAACTTTTTGACGAAACGGAATTTCAAATTAAATTATATTACATTTTTATCTAAGCTTTGTCTCCACTTACCTCTAATTTGTTTTGAAGCTAACTCAATCGCCGCACATTTTGTGAATTGGTCGAGTGCCGCCTTTGACACACTGTAAGCTAAAAATCCTCCAAACTGCCTGTCACTGCAGATGCTTGAAACGTTGATAATATTTCCTTTCGTTTTAATCAAATGTGGGATGGCCTGTTTGGTCATTTCAATGACACCACGTAAGTTCGATAACATAACCATATCGTAATCGTCCATATTCAAATCGGTTATCGTTCCAATGATAACAGTTCCAGAACCATTAATCAATATATCCAAATGTCCGTATGTGTCAATTGTTTCGCCCATAATGCGTTCCGATTCAATGGCAAAATTGGCCAAAATAATGTGTGGCTTATTTTGGATACAAAGCACTTTTATCCTTTTCAAAAGCCCAACAAATTCTTTTTCGTTCTGTCCAACTAATGCCAGCAGAGCACCTTCACTACCGAAAAACTCAGCACAAGCACGGCCAAGAGCTGAATCTGCGCCAGTTATCAAAACGACCTTTTCCTTAAACTTCATTCTCTTAATTTCTTTTCGGAAAAGCCGTACTAAGCAACGAAGTTCCAAGAACGATTATAATCGACCAATTCTTGGCGAACCTCGATAACAAATGGAAGAAATCAGAATTGGCTATTCAAACAGAACCATTGAGTTGGACAGAATATTTTATTCGCAGAAAACTGCTTGAATATAAAATTTAAAAAGCGAATGTTGTGAAATTCTCACATATCGAATAATGATTTATTCGCTTTGCTTAATAATTGCAACGTATCTGTTTCAACCTTGTGTGAATGTCATAATGTCATTATTCATTGACATGAACGGAACTCGAAAAATATTGTTTTATGGTTTATCGAGTAAAAAAAATCGATTATTTTCTGTGAACCAATTCAATTTTTATTTTCATTCAACTTTTCAGTGTCATTTTGTCTGTAATAATTTCAACAGCAACAATAGTCATTATAATTACGACAAATCAAAGCAATTTCCTTAGAATGCTCCCTTAGTGGACAGCCCACCTAAAGTGATTGAAAAGGGAGAAAAAACGACAATGAATTTCCATTTCAAAACAATGATTTGAAAAATTAGAAAAGAAATTAAAACAACAAACCGTCCACACGCAGAAGAACTCCGGTGATAAAGTTTGCTCCTTCGTCGGCCAAGAACGCGATGGCGTTCACACAATCTTCAGCGTTGCCGATACGCTGAAGTGGATGTTTTGATTTGGCTTGTTCAACTATTTCATTATAGTCGCCATCGTCTCTTTCAATACCAGTTGCGATCGTATGAAAGTCGGTATCAATGAACCCTGGGTTGACCGAATTAACTGACAGAAAAATAATCACCGATAAAAATATATTACATTTTTATTCAAGCCTCGCCTCCACTCCACTTACCTCTAATTTGTTTTGGAGCTAATTCGATTGCCGCACACTTCGTGAAGTGGTCTAGTGCAGCCTTAGACATGGCATAAGCAAAGAAAATTGGAACCGGTATAATGCCAGCCGCGCTTGAAACTTGAACAATATTGCCCTTAGTTTTAGCTAGGTAGGGAATGGCCAACTGAGTCAATTCAACTACACCACGAACATTGGTATTCATCATAGCGTCATAGTCATCCATTTTCAATGTTTCAAGCGTTCCACCCAATGAGAAGCCTTTAATTTTTGAATTCGTTAATTTTTTTTATTCGATCATTTTTATAAAGATGAAAAAATGAATTACCCGCGTTGTTGATCAATATATCCAAGTGCTCATACTTTTCGATAGTTTCGCTTATAATTCGTTCAGCATCAACCGACACATCGGCTATTATTACCAATGGTTCCAATTCAACTCCGCTCTCTTTTATTCTTTCCACCACTCTCTCGAATTTTTCGGCATTCCGCCCGACTAGGGCAAGCAGAGCACCTGAAAAATCATATAGGTTCTAATTCAAATAGAAACAAAACTTTGAAAGAATTTTCTTTTTTGGATTTAACCTTTTTTGGCGAAGTATTCTGCACAAGATGCACCGATCCCACCACTTGCGCCAGTAATTAGGACCACCTTTCCAATAAACGGCATAGTAATCGTTGAATAGATAAACGTTATAAAAGTCGATGAAAACTTTACAATCGATGAATATTTTCGGGTGACGAACGAATAACATCCGCAAAAGTTCGATATCAAAAATGTACTAACGAATATGGAAAACGTAAAACTACGGAGTGTTCCCACTATGCATTCTTAAATTTTTCAACGTGTGAATTCAAACAGTCATATGCATTTTTCCACCGATCGATAGTCATTATCTAGGAAAAGAAATTCATATAGCGTTTTGAGTCGCTAACAGTTTCAGTCATTTGAATCAATTTCATCAGTGAAAATACCGCTTCAAATATGACCTATTTGTAAAATCTTTTGAAGAGGGCATTTTCAACATTACTCAAAGTTCAGCAATAGAATAGGTATCGATTTTTCGGTTTTCATTATCACAACTGCATTTCTCACCCTTAGTGAAAACAGGTGAGTTCAAAGTCCATATAAGTACATGTTAAATATAATATTTGATTTTCTACAGTGACCTGAATATATGACGGATAAAATATTTTTCATATTTTAATGAATAAAACAAATATCGTTTCTGCATCTGTATATTAACCAATGCAATTTTTATTTGTGTAATAGTATCATGTATGAGACCTTTGAAGATTGTACAAAAATCACAGTATGCCATTTTATTCGTATGAATTTTAATGACAACAAGATTTCTATTCAAAAAATAAAAACATTATGACAATGAATCTTCTTAGAATGCTCCCTTAGTGGACAGCCCACCTAAATTATTTAAAAAGAGAGAAAAAACGGCAATGAATTTTCATTTCAAAACAATGTTTTTCAACCGAAATTACCATCAACACGCAGAAGAACGCCAGTCATAAAGCTGTTACTTTCGTCGGCCAAGAACGCGATGGCGTTCACACAATCGTCAGCGTAGCCGATTCGCCGAAGTGGATGTTTTGATTTGGCTTGTTCAACAATTTCATTATAGTCGACGTCGTCGTCTCTTTCAATACCAGTTGCAATCGTATGAAAGTCGGTATCAACGAACCCTGGGTTGACCGAATTAACTGACAGAAAATAATCACCGATAAAAATATATTACATTTTTATTCAAGCCTCGCCTCCACTCCACTTACCTCTGATTTGTTTTGGAGCTAACTCGATCGCCGCACATTTCGTGAATTGATCTAGCGCCGCCTTAGACATGGCATAAGCAAAGAAAATTGGAACCGGTATGATGCCAGCTGTACTCGAAACTTGAATAATGTTGCCTTTTGTTTCAGCTAGGTAGGGAATGGCCAACTGAGTCAATTCAACTACACCGCGAACATTGGTATTCATCATAGCGTCATAGTCATCCATTTTCAATGTTTCAAGCGATCCATTCAATGCAAAGCCGGCGTTATTGATCAATATATCCAAGTGGTCATACTTTTCGATAGTTTCGCTTATAATTCGTTCAGCATCAACCGACACATCGGCTATGATTACTAATGGTTCCAATTCAACTCCGCTCTCTTTTATCCTTTCCAAGACTCCTTGAAACTTTTCGGCATTTCGCCCGACTAGGGAAAGAAGGGCACCTGAAAAACCATATGTATCGCAAATAAAGTGCTATGAAAATATTCCTTTGAAACGCAACTACATACAAAACTATCCACAATTAGCATTTTCGAACAAAAGGAATACTTGAATATACTTTATGCAGCCATATATGGTTACTGCATGTATGAAAATAATGTTTTCTTATGTGTAAAAACTATGTGGTTCATCGATCATATCATAATTTCCATATTTGTATTATGAATTTAATGTTATATAAGCAAAAACACACCAACGGAAAATAAAAAAAAATTAACAAGGAAAACTGTTTGATATTAACCCTTTCGAGCGAAAAATTGAGCGAGGGCCGCACCAATTCCAGCGCTGCCGCCACTAATCAGAACAACTTTTCCAATGAATGGCATATCAATTCTTTTGCTATTATGAAAGAAACGTAACAAATATTTTGGTTTCGATGACGAACGCAATAACAACTGCAAAATTTCGATGGCACAATTATACTAACGAATGTGACAAACACACATTTTCAAAAATGCTCCATCAAATTCGAGTTTATGCATTTCTTAAATTTTCAACGTGAGAATTCAATTCGGTCATATGCACTTTTTCCAGTCATTATCCAGGGCAAGACATTGAAAATACTGCTTCGAATAAGTTTACATTTCCCACAATAATCAAATCAATATTTTTACCAATGAAACATTAGAATTGACAACCATTCTAGATTTATGCGACTCATCAAAACGACAATAAATGTTTGATTCGTGTATTTTTCCGCAGCTGCATATCCGTATAAGAAGCGCGTCAATTAAAAAGGTGGATTTTCCATACTGATATAGAGTAGAGAGTAGAATGTCTATGTATATATACAATACTATAGTATTGATGTACACATATCTTTTCAAGAGTTCAAAGAAAACCACTACTTTCACATTTTATACTTTATTTAGATAGTTTGAGTTAACACAAAATTGTCTGAGGAATCAATGTAAAAATAGCTTTTCACCACCAATTTTCTTCAATCAATTTGAGCCTCCTGTAAATGTGCTTTGAATACTTTCAAGACTTTTGTTACTTGTGCCTCCGTCAATGACCAAAATTACATCAGTAATAAAACTGGAACGTTCTTGGGCCAAGAAAGCGACTGCGTTCACACAATCCGATGTCTGTCCGAAGCGTCCAATCGGAAAAGAAGCTCCAGCTGAAGCAAGTAAAGCCGAATATTTTTCGTCGTCTCTTTCGATGCCACGCACTTTGGTCTGAAAGTCGGTATCAACGAAGCCTGGGCTTATAGAATTTACTCTCACACCTTGAAGAAAAAGAAAGAAAAATTCATTGGAATTTCTTCAAACGCTACCAATCACTTTTACTTACCTCTGTCGGCCATTTCTATTGCGAGGCATTTAGTGAATTGATCGATGGCAGCCTTAATCATGCAATAAACGAGGAAATTCTCGAATGTTCGCAAAGATGCAATGCTTGAGTTATTGATTATGCAACCTTTGGTTTCGATCAAATGTGGCATCGCCAAATGGGTTAACCCATTTACGCCCAAGCCAATTTTTTTTCCGAATTTTGTGATATTATTTTAAATCCAAGTTACTTTTGGTTAAAGAAAATCAAATATTTCGTCAGATTTGAATTATGGTGTCCAGAACCCGAAAAAATGACCAAAAACTGCTGTATTAAAAATAGGACGCTGGGCGCCATTTAACAGATATTTTGTTTATACGTTTTTTTTTAAATTTTCATTGAAAAAATGTCACTCAAAATCCACAGTGGCATAAAAATCAAGAAAGAAAGTTAACGATTAAAAAAAATCCTTGATATGTGTGCAATTCCGTTTATTTATTGTTGTTCCAAACAGTTCCGAATTCGGGTTGAGAATTGGGTAATTATTATCAAATATATTTTGTATTAATGAGATCATATCAAGTAAATGGGCGGCAAAATTCAAATAAACCGGTTGAAACCGCAATATCCATCACATCAAATAAATTTATATTTGACGTTCGAATGTCGCGAATTTTTTAAAAAAGAGACATCAAATTAATATTTTATCGTTGAATTCTTAATTCACCGTTTGGCATATTTTGATTCACATTTTTAAAATTTTGATTCACCATTTTGGACTTGATTCACTCTTATTTTAAGCCCTGGTTTGTACAAAGAGTAACATCTTTGTTGTCTGACCAACGACGCATCAAAATCTTGTTTGTAGTATCGAACACGAAACCAGTCTCTCCACGCTTCAGTTGTTTGCCTTCGTTTAGTGGAGCACCAGCAATACGATTATTGCGTACAGTTCCCGTTATACAGAATCGTTTTTCATTCACCAGACACATGAGGTAGTATGATGTGAAAAAATTGTCAAAGTAAACCTTGTGATGTTCGGGGTTTTCAACAATATCGAGCAAGCAAAGCACCACATCAGCTCTCAAGCCAATTTGACGATCATAGTTGTCGCTTTTACAACTGTGTCGCCCAAAATATGGCACCATTTCCTCGTCGACCGCCAATGAGTCAGTCCACTCACCAAATTGAATGGACTTCTGATTTGCTGAGCCATTTCGAACCGTTGTCGTTTTTGTTTTTAATTTTAAACTGCCATACGATCTTTATTATGCTTCATATCAATAACACTTCTCCACACCGTTACATCGGCAATTATTGCAAGTGGCTCAGTTTCAACGCCGTTCTCCCTAATTTTTTCGAGAACTTTTTCGAATTTTCCTTCATTTCGACCGATCAATGCTAGTAAAGCTCCTTCTTTTGCAAAGTATTCTGCAGTAGCCGCGCCGATACCAGAATTTCCACCCGTTATCAACATAACTTTTCCGCTAAATGACATGACAGCTAGAATTACTATTCCAATTTTGCCAATAAGGGCCAGAGAGAACAATTTAAAGACGTCTGAATCGAAACAGTGTTAAGTAACGACTGATATACAAATGCATGACGGGTTGAACCCAGAGCGTGTTGTCACTGCGCTCATATCAAATGTTGTGGTATTTTTATCTTATAAAATGTTCATAATATTCGTGTAGAAAATTAGCCAGGTGTAACCAAGGACGAATGGCTTCAATTTTCTTCAATTATTCGCTTTTTCTAATGTCATTGCCTATGTTTTTTAGTATTTTTTCTGGAAAGAAAAGAACAGGGAAGAAATATAAAAGAAAACAACAGTAATTTCCAAATCTATAACATCATTTTTTATTTGTTGCAGAAATAAACACCTGAGGCTACATCTATTAAACGAACCAAGTTCCAAAGCAGTGTTTAAATGGATAAATACTATATATTTAGAAAAATGTTCAAAGGATCTTTGCAGATATCGCACCACAATCAGCGTTACTGTAAACAGGGACAACAAGACCTGTTATGAAAAACGTTTCATTATCATTGGCCAAAAACGCGATCGCTGATACACAATCGATTTTTTGTCCGTTGCGTTCATTCATTGGGCCTTTGATATCATTTTGTTCCAAAAAATTCTCATAATCTACTTCTTCCTTGTCTCGGTCTATGTCGATAAAACTATGAAAATCGACATCAATATTTTGTGCGCTGATACAATTCATACGGACACCGTGATCTTTCAGTTCAATTGCTGCGCATTTGGTAAACTGTTGCAAAGCCGCTTTTGAAATGCAACAAAATATCCAATTTTCAACTGGTATCAAGCCCAAAGCGGTCGAACTGTCAATGATTATATTCCCTTTGGATTCAATCAAATGCGGAACAGCAAAATGGGTTAGTTCAAAAGAACTACGAACATTTTGTGTCATCATTGCATCGAAATCTCGTATATTAAAGTTTTCAATTGAAGCGGGCCTTATGAAACTAGCACTAATAAAGAGAATATCTAATCGACCAAACTTATCGATAGTTTTATCAATGATACATTTGGAATCCTTAGTAACATCGCCTATTATAACAAATACATCCGTTTTCACACCACTTTCTTCTATATTTTCCAGCACATTGTCAAATTTGTTTTGGCTATTTGAACTGACCAGAGCTAATTTGGCCTTTTCTTTTCCAAAATATTCAGCAGCCAGTGTTCCAATGGCAAACTCTGCACCTACAACCAGGACTGTTTTGCCTTCAAATGACATTTTAAAATAAAACCAAAATGAAGTGTCAATAAATGTCCCGTCAACTTGGATATCAAAAGTGTACTGATACGAATTGAAACGTTTTTAAAATGTGTCACCATTGAAAAATGAAAAAAAAAATTTAATATCGACTTTTTTCGCTTACATTTTGCTATTCCTTATAAATTTTTCTCCACATTCTTCATGAATCATTAAAATATTTATTGATATCGATCAACAATAACAACAGGACGCGAATATTTTTTATTCAAATGGTTACGGTTTGTATGCGTTTGAAAGTGTATTGCTAAAATACATCGACAGCACATGTTTGATTCAAAAATATTGATTGAAATGTTTTATTATGCGATAATACCCATTTTTATTCCAACAAATATATATTTTATTACAGTTTATCCAGTTTAACAAGCAAAAACAATATTAGTTTAATCTTCAGCGTATATTATCAATCGCCCAATATGAAATATGGTCATTTTTTCGTATTGATTTTTGTTTCTTTACATTCACAACAACAATCGTAATTTTCCAAATCCCAAAAAGCATTCTTTCTGAATAATTTCCTTCAAAATGCACCTTTAGACGATATGCCACCATCGACGGGTAATAGAACTGCCGTGATAAAATTTGAGCTGTCTTTGGCCAAAAATGCGATGGCATTTACACAATCCTTGGTATAACCGATGCGTTCTAACGGGTGTGCATTAATATTGGCCTCAACTAAAGCTGAATATTCGTCTCCACCTCTTTCTAGGCCGTGTCCAGCATAGAAATCAGTATCAATGAAGCTTGGAACCACCGCATTGACTCGAACTTCTTTTGGAGCTAGCTCCATCGCCGCACACTTCGTGAATTGGTCTAGCGCCGCCTTAGACATGGAATAAGCGAGAATATTCGGATTGGATGTTATGCCAGCAACCGATGAGACATTCACAATATTGCCTTTGGTTTCAACCAAGTGCACAATAGCTTGCTGGGTTAGTTCAACGACAGCCCGAACATTCGTTGCCTCAAGAAGAAAATGAAAACCACATGAATTATTTGAAAAAAAAAAGTTATTCACACGCGAAAATGAAGCTCCTACCATCATTGCATCGTAGTCATCCATTTTCAATGTTTCAATCGATCCAGGAATACTGAAGCCGGCATTATTTATCAAAATATTCAAACGACCATATTGTTCAATTGTTTCACTTATAATACGTTCACTATCAACCGATACGTCGGCTATAATCACTAGCGGCTCATTCGTAATGCCATATCCTTTGATTTTTCTCACAATCTTTCCAAATTTCTTCTCATTTCGTCCCACCAGCGCAAGTAATGCTCCTTGTTTAGCAAAGTATTCAACGCAAGCACTACCTATTCCGGCACTTGCACCGGTTATCAGGACCACTTGGTTCTCGAAGGACATGTCGCTAGCCAATATTGAAACGAATTCGAACCAAAAACAAAATGACCCAAAGTATTTGAAGTCGGACAAGCACTGCGATATGCAACGAAAAGTACTCGGAAAATTCACCTGCAATTGATGTCAAACCATATCGATTGCGGTTGGTCGTTGTGAATATTTTACAAAGTTTCCATATTTCCAACGAGACTAGGTTAAACGTCCAAGCTATACAGTTGAAACCACTTTCGATAACATCAAAATCGTAAATTATCCATTTAATTTTTGGTTTGGGAGGTGCAATTTGAAGCGCAGGCGTTTCAATCACATCGATATTATCGTTGTAGCCGCCGCCACCACCGGGGAATTTATTTTAATCTTTTCTTTTTCATCGTCTATCCGATAGAATCTATCGTTTTGAGTACACTTTGTGATTGCTTCAACAAAAACCACAACAACAACAACAAAATAATTAAAGGATATTTCGGTGTGTAAAAATTTGTATTATACGAGTATTAAAAGGCGCTCTTTCTGCCCAAACCGTCATCAACGCACAAAAGAACTCCAGTGATGAAGGCAGAATGATTTTCATTGGCCAAAAATGCGATGGCATCGACAACTTCCTTCGGTTTTCCAATGCTACCAATCGGATGCAGTTGATTCTCTGCTCCGAATCAAATGTGGAACTGCGTATTGGGTTAATTCGACCACACCTCGCACATTGACTGCGAAAATTTTATCAAAATCTTCGATTTGTAAGGTTTTGATTGTTGCATGGTTGCCAATCGCAGCGTTATTGTTCAAAACATCCAAACGGCCGTATTTTTCGATAGTCTCGCCGATAATGCGCTCAGCATCAACACTGACATCCGCTAAAATCACTAATGGCTCCGTTTTAACGCCACTTTTTTTTATATTTTCGAGGACTTTTTCAAATTTTTCAGCATTGCGACCGACTAATGCTAGCGAAGCACCCTCTTTTGCGAAATACTGAGCACAAATAGAACCTATTCCGGCACTCGCACCTGTTATCAACATAACTCGGTTTTCGAAGGATATTGCAATACTGCAGCTACTATTATATAGTTGACAAATAATTTTCGAGGAAAGAGAACGCACGATGCGAAGATTTTGTTGTCAAATAACGGAAGCAAACTAATGAGAAAACGCAACGATGTTCCAGTTTATATACGATTCGATTGAACAAATACTTCAAGGCCTGTGCCATATAATTTTGAGCAAAAAAAATGTCGACTAGACATGACACAAAGGGTGAATACACTTCTCTTATAAGCACTTGGAGGTCGTGGCAGCATGATTAGTTTACGTTGAAAATGCATGTTAGAATATGTAGACGGCAGGACAGACAGTCCATACTTTTTCATCAATTATTCAACATTTTATATGAAAATCAATTTCCAACAAAATCCAAAACACAAGAGAAAATTTAGATTATTATGGAGTAACCGAGTTCATGATTCTCCAGGTGGAAAATGTGAACATGTTCATAATCTATCTATTAAAAACAGGTTTCTTTGACATTTGTTGCTAAACATATATTGCTTCAAGCGTTAAAATCATAATGTTTTTTTTTTTCAATGAATAAAACACAAACAATTCAACACATTCAAAATATATACGAAATTAATGATTCTCCAGCCACAAGAATTTCATACAAAAAAGACATGCGTTTCAACGATTTTTATTCAATTTCAGCGCGACGCAAAATTCACCATACACACGATTCATTCTGTCAAATATATGAGGGCGCCACCAATACTTCTCAGCTGAGCAACTCGTTTCAAACAGATGTTAGCGATTGTGTGTCAATTGTCAAAGCAGTGCACGAATGTAAATAAAAAGGTAGAAGAAACAGCTGCACAACCAGAAATATCATTTGAATTTGCACAATAATCATACGACATATTGATAGTGAATTTTTAGTTCCGGGACAGAATTTAACGATTACGTTGGAATGGCATCGACCAAAGTGCTTCAATTGGAAGATAAGGTGGCAAAACTTCAAGAATATGGCTCGATCGGATATCGGGCGATGGATGACCCGTTCTTTGTGGCAAATAACACTGTGATTTTTAAGCCCTTTGTTCGTCTCGGTGTTTATCGGTACGACGATGAAAGTCTTTGCCATAAATCGTGAGTATTTTAGTGGTTTTTTTACAATTTATATCAAAACGATTCAAATGAAATCCGATTGGTTGTAGATAGAAAGTCATATTAATTTTTTTGTGCATGTGCTCGTTTCAGGAACCGCGTGCGATGCAACATTCCCAAATGTAATGAGGAGTTTGACACGATATTTGCATATGAAAATCATTACAATTCATTGCATCGTTTCTTGTGCGCTCAATGTTCAAAGAATTTACCAAGTGCTCACTTGCTCGATTTGCACCTGTCCGAAAAACATGATTCATTTTTTGCCGTGCAAGCCGAACGCAAACCAATGGTGAGACCACCTTTTATTCTCCGTTGATTCTGATACGATTTATTCAATAATCGTCGATTAATGATGTGTTTTTTATTTGTTTGTTTTTGACAGTTCCGCTGCTACTTGGAGGAGTGTTTAAAGTTGAGTCAAACACCGTCCGAGCGTCGAGATCATTGCATTACAGAGCACAAATTCCCGCACGACTTTCGCTTCGATTGCTATGGTCACACAAAGAAAAGCAACAGCAACAATAATAACAACAACAAAGTGGAAAGCAAAAAATCCAACCAAAAATCGGCAAATCCAAAGTCATCATCATCGACCACCGTTTTGCAGCCACCAAAATTGGTGTCGGTGACCACACACGATGAAGACATTGAATTGGAGGATAAATCGATTTTGTTGACGGCACAGCGAAAACATTTCACCAACTTTTCATTCGGTCACAAAAAATCGAAGGCATTCCGTTCGAATGCGCCAGCGCACAGCTATGTTAAGCAGCTAACTGCCAAATCTGAAACCAACAAACCACCATCCGGTGGCGGCGGCGGCCTGGACAATGCCAACTTGGTCGACGATCTGATGGAGAGCTTACCACAATAAACAAATGCTGGAATTTATTTTATTTCATAATTTTTTTTTTAATTCACTCAAATCGTAAAACATTTTACCACAAATAAATAAGTTAAAGAATAAATTAAAAACAAAAATGGAAAGAAAAGTGATTATATTCTTACTACTGTCTAATGACTAAGTGCTAACCATTTTTTATGCCTCATTGTCAATCTCTTCAACGGATGCCACCGTCTCTGCGACATCACTTTCACTCGTTTTTGCTTCCGTTGTTTGTTCGGTGTCGTCACTTTCGTCACCATCATTGTCTTCTTCAGAAGCCGCCGTCTCTTGGCTTGGTAACTTTGTGGTGGTGGGAGTGGGTGTTGTTGTTGTTGGTGGTTTAGGTTTTGGTGTTGTCGGAACAATTTCACAGTTTTTGCCTTTGAATCCAGTCGGGCATTCACATTCGAATGAACCTTCATCTTTGGTTAACGATGTGCATTTGCCACCGTTCAAACATGCCTTCGGATTTTCTTCACAGTATTTCAGCTCTGGAAATTATTTAACAGAAAAAAAACATACACGGTAATTAAAATCATTTTTTAGGTTAAATTTGAAGAGAAAAAAAGGCGAAAAAAAAATTTTAAATTAAAGAAATTTACCTTCATCGCACAACATTCCACCATAGCCTGGCCTACGACAATAAAACCAGTCATAAATCAAATTAGTTATACAAAAAACTGTACACTTGATTGATCAAATTTCAACTTACTTGCAATTACATTCCCATGGTCTGCGGCAATCTCCATTTTTACATCCGGGATAAGGATGGCATTTGTCACAGAATTCGCCATGATAACCAACTTTACATCTGCATTCGCCTGGACATTTGGCATGAGGTTTTTTTTCAGATTGAATTATTTGTTATTTATTTTCAATGCAATCAACGCAAAATGTCCAATCAATTACCTGGTTTCTTACAGTATCCATGCTTTTGATTACATTCTGATGAGCAGATTGCTAGAGTGTGAATCGAAGAAATAAAGTGAAATTGATTAGAATGTCATTTTTGAACTTGGTTTATGAATAAAATTGAATGATATTTGTCTTACGAATGTGGCACAAGATTCCAGTCCAGCCTGGATGGCATTTGCACTCCTAAGAAATCAGTATGAAATAAGTTCAGATCAAAGTCTCCGAATTCAAAATGTTAAAAGTGTTGCCTTGATTGAAAATATATTTTACCAGTGGTTTTGTACATGACCCATGCTGGCAGCCAGGGAGCACTTGGCATTCTTTACAAGTTGGTCCAGCCCATCCCAATCGACAACGACATTCATTTGGTACTTCACAATAACCGCGAGTTTTATGGCAGTCATCACGACAAATGGCTGATGATTAAACATTATAAATTGGATTCAATTGAATGATTGGAAGAAAATCGTCGCATTCTTCATTGAAAATGTGTAGAATTGTAATTATTCCTTACGATCAGTGCAGAAGAGACCATCCCATCCTTCTTTGCAAATACACTCGAACGAAACATTGCAGTATCCGTGTTGACATCCGGGCAGTGGAATGCAACGATCGCACTTTTCGCCATAAAATCCTAAATTACAACGACACTCCCCCGGTTTTTTACAATAACCATGCATGGGATCGCAACCCTTTCGGCAAATAGGAACGTCGCACAAATCACCTTGCCAACCTTTAAAAGTCAAATAATAAATACAATGATTTAGTAGATGATTTTTTTCTCTCCATCAATTTAATAAAGCATATTCAACTTCTATACTTGCCTGGTAAGCATTTGACATCGCCATTATCGTCGCAGGTGTAGTGTGATTGTTCATTTTGGCTGGCTGGCACCTCGCATGCTTGCTTCTTCCATTTGGGCACGTATCGAGCGGCGGATGTTAAATAAATCATGTACAAAATTAGAAGCGCCACTGTGGCTAATGCCTGATTGTAGTTCATCTTCTGTATAATTTGCAATGGAAATAAAGGCCATAATTTTCAATTTTCCAACGATGGTATGAATTAAATATTTATTGAGTTTTACCAAAAAAAAAATATTGGTAATTTTGCAGAGAGTTTTCAATAAATTAACTGACGGTTTTGCTATGCGAATATCCTACAAACAGATCAAAAGCGATCAAACGAAAATCAAATAAATTAAAATATTTAAAATTAATGAGAGAAAAAATGAGACGCACATGCTACAGCGCGTTATGAATAAAATGTTGACCCATGCATTGATTGAATGGATTTCCGTCGCAACAAAACCGCGACAAAACTCAATTAATTAGTTGGGCCGGTTGTATCGAATTCTCAATGCGGAAGAAAGCAATAACAAAAACAAAATGTAAACAGTGGAACATCACCATACCATGATGATGATCATCATCATCATTATCATCACAAATAACTTTCTTTCGCGTCGGCACGCGCGCATACAAATCATGTGTTACGTGTTATGATTTTCTCATTGAACATTCATATTTACAGTAGGTGTACTGCTTGCTATTGGTAGTCTTTTTCCGATTTGGTCAAACTTTCTTATTGCTTTATTGAATTTTGAGGGGGAAAAAACATTGGTTTTGATTCATGGCCACACGAGATGTGGTGTTTGAGATCCAATCTAAACCTCACTAAGAATAATTTTTACATCTAATTTTATGTTTTTCAGTACAGTTGTTATGGTAAGAGTGTGTTGATATGAATAATTCAACATCTTTGCGTTTAAAATTATCGGCGTTCCGTTATTTGCATAAGTCGTTAGTCGTTTAAATGTATAAATTGATTCACTCTATTATAAAGATGCTGGACTGAGTAACTGATCGACCGACGCCCGGAACATAACTCTCTATTTTGACCAAATACGATCATCATATCGAAAAAAGAATACAGAAAATTGTTCAAATCATATTTATGATTTTCCATAATTTTGCATTCAAATCTAAATCGCACAAATAAATCAATGCACGACCATGACGTCACTTTCACTTGATGCTGTTTTTCATTCAAAATTAGTTGTCACGCGTCTTAGAAATCATGTCAAAACAATTCAAATAGGAATCATATAGTAAACAAATGATCGTGTACACTAGATAGAGTAGTATGCATATCTCATTAGATCTATTGTTTTAACTCGATAATAGGCCTTTGGGATCAACACTTTCTTCAGCAGCAATTTTCAATTTACATGAGGTGCTGAAATCGTTTCATTTGCCTGTTCGTGCGTTGTTCTTTTTTTCTCATTGCTGTTGTTGTTGCCGCTGAACGCATTGACTCGAGAAAGCGTCGCGTGTCTGATAAAACAATCTGATTTCATATGAAACATATATCTGAAGATCGTCAACAATACGTGCGAATGCTATTGTATATGTATACATATATTTTTTTGGGATAGAGTAATCACAAGAGTAGGTCATATGCTGACACAAGTAGATCATTCATCATTTCACATTCACATTCGCAACGGCTTTTACCGTTCACCTTTCTGTATGGCACGTAATAGAACCGGTAAATATGAATGAAATAAGAAATGTTTTTTGACGGAATCGCTCAAAATAGAAAAAAAAACTTGTTTCATATAAAACCACAATTTCAATTGCAAAACCGTTTCGTTATAATTTACACGTTGAAATGTTCGGTTGGTTCTAATGATTTTATTGTTGCTATTTTCTATATAAAATCACCTTTTACTCATTCAATTTCAAACCACTTTCAACAAACACAAATGCAAACGCTCGATTTGGATTACTTTGAAAATTTCTCCCGAAAGCACAACTGTTTCGTTAGACTCAACGATCTCGACTGTTGGATGGATGGATTTGAAGAGGGTCATGCAGCAAGCGATCCATTGGCTGTGTGCTATGTAGCGGTAGTTTTTGACTGCAGCTACGCTACACACAAAAGAGAAACAGATAAACCACACATAAAAGAGAAATTACCAGAAAGAAGAAATGTTTTAACGGCAAATTAATGTACGGCAAATCTGATGAGGCTGATTCGTTCAGAATGTGTGCGCAAAAAAAATCGATTGAAAGGTCTCAGAATAGATGATTCAACAGTTTCATTCGGAATGCGAAACAAATTTTTCGTTTCTTCTTTTTCTTTTATTCTTGGAATTCTTTTCTTTTTAATTTTGCAATTTTTTCCATTCCTTTTATTTGGTTTCGCGTAAATCATGGCATAAACTCAAGTACAACGTGCGAAATGGACAGTTTCAGGTAATAATTATTGATTTTCTTGATTTAAAATCATCGTACTGTACTAAAATTATACTAGGTCATCTTGAAATTGCTAAAAGCGGTTTAAAACATTTCATTACTGTTGTTTACTATCCATTTTGTAAGAGAACTATTCAAAAATTGGCAAATAATAATAAATACACGACGAAAATCTTTTTCTATTTATTTCCTTCAATTGATAGTCAAAAAACTTAATTTTCCACAAACAAAACAATTCAAATAATTATGAAATTTGATCTTAAAATATTGATTAATGAAGTATGATATAAGATATGGAATTCAAATCAATCATCCGATTTCATTGTTTATTCGCGGTTGTAAACACACAATTTATTTGAGCTGCACAAGGCACGATATTTTTCATCTGATCCATTTCCACATTCGGAGACAGTTGTGCCAATTCTGTATACCAGGATCCCCAGCACATTGTCAAACGAATAGTCACATGCCACGTAAAATTAACTGGATCCTTGATCATTATTGTCAATTGACATAGCACATCCGATTCCTTCGACTTTATCTTGTACAAAATTACGGAAATGTCCAACCATGGGTTTTCTAATTGTTGTTATGGAACATCAAAGCCATACCACACAGAAAATAGAAACATAATGAAGATAATGGAACTTATGTATTTTTGTGCGATTATTCAAATGTTTATCGTAGTTCGATATGAATTACACTTACTCTGGATCATAAATAATATTTCCACCTCCGACAATCATTTTCATCCATCCATAGGCCTCGCCCTGTTAATTTTCTTTAAACCAATCGTGGGCCACACTAGCCACTTGCTGTGGAGTTGGTTTTGTATTCAATAATATTTTCACACCGATATTCGGAATTGCCCCATCAAATTTGTCTAAAATGGAGCAAATCATTTTGGTATACTCATTTGGTGTATTCTACTCAATTTTCACAAAAAATGTACTCCTATTGTAGCACTTATCGTGTGCAAATTCACAACTTTTAGCGTGACGTTCTGCAAGTTCCGCTAATTCCGAGTCCCATGTCATTTTCGCCATATGCGTTGCAGGATCGTAATGCTTGATATTACCCCAAGCAATTTCACTACGCCATTTATTATGCATCTATGTGGTCTTGAGTCATATAAACTTTACTCAAATTCTGCGTCAGTTGAAAATGATAAATTAATCGGTGTTAAAACAGAGAGTTTACGAGTGGATATTCAATACTTACGCCAGTATTGCCGCAACTGATATTCTTTGTGTCGCCGCAAATCCACTTACAGTAGTCAACTGACATGGCTGCAGTCGAAAGAAAAAAGAAAAATATTAAATACAGTGAAACCTTTCTATAACGGAATCGCATGGTGCGAGAAGATTTTCCGTTATCTGGAGGTTTCCGTTAAACAGAGTTTTCGCTAAAAAGAGTTTTTAAAATCGTTATGGTCCAAAGTTTCCGCTATTTAGGGGTTCAAATTACCAAAAAGCAAATTATCTTTCTTATCTTATGACTAATCGACTAAAAAACCGGAGTTCCAAAAAGCAAGCCATGAAAATATTTATCATAAAACTCTGAAAGTGAAAAGTAAGAAATAAAATGCAAACATCCAGTGAAACTATAAACAAAAAAAAGAATCGAAAACAAAGAGCTCACAAAAGTAAATTTATGTCCCGACGACATCGTGCAACGATAATTTATACTATATATATTATTATATTTAATTTTTGGTCCTAAAAATGTACATGGTTAATTATTTATATACCATAACATGTAATGATTAAAGAAATAAATCTTTATATTGTTCCGTGTATAGTGTGGTCATAAATTGTAAAGTCATTTAAATTAGGAAATCATAATCATTGTACGACTATATGTAAGCATGAAGAAACCAAATAAATAATAATAATAATACACGTAATTAGTCCATGAGCAGGAGAGTTATTGTGGGCCACATCATTTTTTGCATTTAATGTCGGATTTATTTTATTTTCGATAGTGTGGCACATGATTTGATTCGCTCGCAATTCTAATGTTTATGCATCTGTGAATTGTGTTTAATATGGGTCAATCAATACTTCAAAGTCATCTAAATAATGCAAACAATAAGCACTAGCAACATATCGATATTATACACTTAGATATTGCGCGTTTGTGAGGCGAAAATTGAATTTTTTTTACGATTTTTGAATAAATTTTTTTTGGGCCAATGGGATGATTTTCCGTTAACTGGAGGTGCAAATTCCGTTATTGGGAGGTCATTTTGAAGGAAAACCGTCAACGGCGAATTTTTTTTTTCGCTAACTGGGGGTTTCCGCTTTATAGAGGTTCCGTTATAGAGAGGTTTTACTGTACAAGTAAAGTGTTGAAAAATGCTTTATACATCGAATACCGATTCAGGATTTCAACAACATGTTTTCTGTTAATTTTCGAAGAAGATAAATCAGGTTTCGGTGGTTTCCGACTCACAACTGATATTTGAAACCAACAAATCAACCTCTTTTATACAAGAAAACCGAAGTGAGTGTATGTGCAGAGATAACGCCATCGTTTCCATCTGAGACTCAATTGTTTGACAAAAAATAAGTTTACATGTCTAATATGCGTCAATTGTTATCTGTGCCGGTATTCTACGACTCTCCGACAAAATCGTTCGGAATTATTTTTTTCGTACATAAGACCATATTGGAGTGAAAGAGAGAGATTCCACTATTTTTCAGCGTCCCACCGGAATTATTTCGATAACTCAAGGAAGAGTGGATTGTGTGAGGAATAATTCCGGTGGGATGCTGAAAAATAGTGGAATCTCTCTCTTTAACTCCAATATGGTCTTATGTACGAAAAAAATAATTCCGAACGATTTTGTCGGAAAGTCGTAATTTTTTTTAAATTCGCATAATATTGACTTGTCTGAAAATTAAATTCCCGAGAAATTTATATACATTATATATGAGAATGTTTATCTGCCTCTTTGTCTGTCTGTCATCGATATCTGGTGATTCAGAAATAGATAAAAGCCGTTTTTATGATGCGGTAATTTAAAGTGTTATATTTCCGACAGCAAAATTACAGAAGAATAGAAACGAGCGACAAAAGTGAGACTGTGCTAGTGCAATAACATATGTGTATATATACAATGCAACCGAAATTAGAAAAGAATCGTTCTTTTGCGATATTTTCTCTTTGTTCCTTTCGCGCAGTGTTTCGTAGATGGTTCTGTGAACACACAAAAATACGGTTGCAGGGAAATCACTTAGAAATACTGCGTTTTCAAACCCTAAACAAGACACACAGCAATATATTTGCAAAGAATAAATACATATACAGATTCAAAAAGCCTGTTGCTAATAATTAACAAAATCTGCTAAAATATTTAAGAAACTTGTGTACTTTGAGAACATCTTTTCACAACAAAAACCGCAGCAGGTGTGATTATTCCTGTGGGAAGCACCTTTACAAATAAATTGTTCCATTTTGGTTTCAAAGATCTATTGATGAGATTGAGAGTAGAATATATTCAACAAACGCAAGTAGAAAAATGGACAAGAGAATATTAACGAAACAAAACAAATCCACATCTTCTACTTGAAATCAATTGACATTTATTTTTCTTTTAGGAATTTACATATTTCGATCAATTTTATCAGTATGTTATGACCTCATTTTCGCTACAAATGCCCGGATATGTCGCATCACGGCCAGTCATACATTTCGAAGCAGTCGTTCCAGCAACGTACACCGGAGTTCCAAGTAAATTCGAAAACGAATAGTTACATGTCAATATAAATGCACCATAGTCTTTTCCATTGTAGTTCGGTGTGGTGAAAACGGCAGCACATCCAATCGCTTCTGTTCTATCCTGCACCCACGCTGTAAAATGACCTACGACTGGCTTCCTGTTCAATTTAATGGAATAACACAAAATTGAATTACGCTATGGAACCAACTATCCACATATGAAACGAAAAATTGACAAAAAATTACGTACGAACTATCGAAATCGCTGGCCTTAATTTGGTTAATCATATCCATCCAGCCATGTGACTTGCCATTTTTGTACTCATTGAACCAACCCATTGTAAGGCCAGTTAAGCGGCTTGTTGTCATATTTCTATCCCAATCCACAACAGTCATCATCATGGCAATACTTTGACCGGCATTGGAATATTTTGCTACATTTAAAAGAATGATCGAATGAATTTCTTTGGCTCGGGGTTTCTTTCAAAGAGTAATTCACATTTTGGAACCGATGATTTGACACACCAATACATAGGATTTCATATGCATATATGAACACGGCTCACTTAGAAGCGGTTATTGTGTATTACGAAATAGGAGCAGTGCCCCGATACGGGTAAGGAATGAAAAAGAAAACAGAAAACATATAGCGAAGATTTATGAACGTACAATTATTTTATCTCTTGCCATTCATTTGTCACATCAGTACACATACTTTTTTTCCCAATGTAATGGTGCGTTGCATACATGCGCGAGGGGGAGGGGGGGGTGGTGGGGAAAATTTTTCCCCCGGGGAAAAATATAAACCTGATTTGCGGGCTAGGGAGTGGCTAAACCCTCCCGGACCAGTTTTTATCTCAATGTATTTTGACGAGATCTATCGATTGGAGCTTCCCCCGATGTCGACTGACCCATTTCCTGACCTGAATGAATAGGGTTATTATCGATGATCCTTCCCTTACATATACATTACTCCAAAAAATGGTCTGGGGAGGGTCAGGGGGCAATATGGGTGGGTCCAATCGATAGATCTCGTCAAAGTACTCTGACAATACCCCTCTACTAATCTTAACTCAAAACACATTGGATGTGATTTTGTTGGGTTAAGTGTTCAGAAGAGTTGTTTGTTTTTACAACGGCCACAATTTTGCCGAAGACAGTATCCAAAAAAATGAATAACCTGCGAAATATGGTTGAAAAAGTGCTAAAATCGATTATTTTTACAATATTTTGTACTGGAGCAAACACCAGATGGCATTTTTTGGGTAAACGGATAGTCCCAATCGATAAATATTGTCGAAGTAGTCTAACAAATACCCCCCA